TGTTTTAATACGGATATGAATAAAACGTCCTTGTTTGTTAATACAGGGATTAGATGTTGCCTTCATTGCAGAAGAAAATAACATAACTCGCTTACACTGTGTAATAATTTTTTCCTGCAATTTTGAATACAAAGACATTTTTGTGTTTATTTCTAGCAACGTAATAATATGAGTTTGTTTTTGGTGATGATAGTCAACTAAAAAAGCAAAAGAGGGCTTTAAACTGTTAAATTTTGATAATATTTTGAACATGAGATAAGTGATAGAAGGAACTGCTTTTTTGAAAATGGATACGCTTTTAAAAATACAAACATTTCTGAGTCATTAAATAATAATCATTTCCAGTCAAATAAGGAAAAATAAAAAAAAAAAAAACTTTTGCATATATATACCTTTCGCATGGCTTATTAAAAACTGCAATTATAGTCCTAAAATGTCCCATCACGAACAAATTAAAGAAAACAAGAGTCAACGGTCTTTTTGACATGATTTCGTGATTGAATGATTCACACAGATCTCGGAGTATATTAAACTTTTTTCATCCAATCAGAAATATCTATGCATGATTATCAATTTATATGCACATATGGATCATGATCTATTTACAGTACGTTATTTTACCACATGACTCTCTTACAGACATGCAGTCTGTTTATATATATATATATATATATAAGAAAAACTGCATATTGCCATTTTATTCACAAACAACAACAACAAAAATCTGTGCATAAAAATATAATAAAAACTCGTAAAGCAATATTTCCGGGTAGCATATGTGTTTTAAAGACCCCCCTTCTCTCTCTCTCTCTCTCTTATTCTCCTGTGAATGAAAACAAAAACCTGTGGATACTAAAGTTTTTATGCATGCATGTCCTAAACAAAATCTAAGCAGTTAAATGTTGACTATACATGTACAAATGTAAAATTCATTTTTTTTTCGGGATCTACCCCAGCATATTAGCTTTTAGCGAAATTCCTTACACCAGAGTCTTTTGCACATACAAATGCACCCAAAGAGTATACATAACAGCTTCAGAACTTTGTCTTCAAATTTTCATAAAAAATGAAAATCTTCAAACAAAACAATTTTTAAAATCAAGGGTCAGAAACAGAATTTACAATATGATAAAATGTAACATAAGAAGAAGTCAGTTTAACAAATTTTGCAAAAAGAGACAAGAAAATATACAAACTTAAGCATTTAACTGTTGGCCTGTGTGTTGGCTGTAATGTAATGGGTACCTTGGAGTACAAACAAGTTAACTACTGAAATATGTGGTGGCTGTATTTAAAGGGAATCACAAAAGTTGACGTTAATGATCTAGCAGATATTTAAATATGATTAAATCTTTACATTATCAATAATTTTGTGAAAAAAAAAAAACATACTTCTTATTTCTGTCTGCAATGCTTGAAGATTTTAGCTACCGTGGTTCAAAAGTTAAAATCAAACCGAAAAAAAAACATTAGCTTAGAAAGAAGGACAACCAGAACAAAAGCATTTTGATAAGAATCTACGAGTTTCAAGGACAAAAAAAAAAAAGAAATGAAAGAGAAGGGGTTCATATGTTATTGAAAAGAAAGTTCATCATGAGAGGAATATCATATCAATAAAAGAAATCTTGTGCTTTCCCATAAACTGAGAGAATGTTTTAGATTACAAATGCATTTTCTGACACCACCAATTTTTGAGAGATCTGCGCATTATACTTTATCATAATGTACCGGTTCTAAATTGATATAGAATAGCACATAAAATTTAAGAAAATTACTGAAATTTAATTTCATTTTTTATCAAATGTAAGAGTCAACATAACCTGAAAGCAGGATCCTTCCAGCAAAGGTACATGGGCACAGGTGCATTGCCGGTTTGTAAAAATTGTTCATTAGAGAGGTTAAGCAATTGACCGTGTGCGTCTACGTGTACGTGTAAACCTAGAAGTGATTTTACAAATACACGTAACTAACATCGTGTTCTTTTTAACAAACTGCACGTGTAGCGGTACGTGTAATACGTCATTTCAACAAGTCACTTTACAATCCATTTGTATCAAATAATTCTATGACTTTGATTAAAAAAGATTTATAGATGTACGTAATAAACTCTCAACATCACAACAAACATCGCCTGAAAAATATATATTCTATAATTTGGGTTTAGGAAGCTACACGTTCTTTCCTACGTGTACATATGAATCTACACGTTGTGTACAACTTGTAGAATTACGCGCTATGCAAAACTGATGACGTAAATCGCAGTAAATTAGGGGATTTCCCTAGCTACACGTACACGTAGACATACACGGTCATCTGCTTAACCTCTCTATTGTTTAAAAATTCCCCTCAACTAATTGAACTTTGTAATACATTAAAATTCTAAATATTCATTTACATCATTATTATTCATAGCCTTACAAGAAAAAAATCTCTGTATTTGTATAGCTCTGCAAGAGCTCTTTTATTGTTTTTGTTTATGTTTCACCGAGTATGATTGATTTGCTTACACTATACACATTGCAGAACAATAACAAGGGCGTGTTAGTTTTGCTTTTTTACATTTTGACTTTTCTTTATTACATTTCACATGTCTTTTATCAATAATCGTCGATTCCCCGCTCTTCTGAAGATAATTCAAAATTGTGAAGGTGTTACAATGTATGGCAATCAATGAAATCACAAATTTGTAGCATTGATAATTTACAGATAAAAAAGTATCCAAACATTTTAAGCTCTCATGAGTCGAAGGCTCAAGTGAGCTTTTCTGAACAAAATTTGTCCATTATCTGTCGTCGTCGTTGTTGTTGTCGTCGTTGTAAACTTTTCACATTTTCGTCTTCTTCTCAAGAACCACTGGGCCAATTTCAACCATATCAGAGTATCTTTGGGTGAAGGGGATTCAAATTTGTTCAAATCATGTCCCCTGGGGTTAGGACGGGGCCACACTAGAAGATCAAACATATGGAAAAAATCTAAGGCCATGATTAGTCAAAGAAATATGAAAGCACTCTCAATTTGTGTAGATTTATGTGGGAATAAATTAGGCCCCCCTTTCCCGGGGGAAGCGGGGTTATTTGTGGTCACTTATATATTTAACTTTTTCAATACTAAAATGATTTCTGCTTTTTTTCTAGCCAATGTGCTCAGGTGAGCGACGTGGCCTATGGGCCTCTTGTAGTCTAAAATCCTCTTGCAACATGTATTTCTATTAAAAATTTTAAAGGATATGAAATCCAAATTTGGGTCTCCCTATGTCCCTTAACAGTTCAAGAGATATATTTATTCGAAGTACAGCATCCTAAAAATCTCATCAAAGTCATATGGACAAACGTCTCAACGATCTGATGGTCATTCCTCAAAGAAAAAAAAATCCATAGCTGACATATGCATATCATGTGCTTCTCCTTTGAAAAGGATTTATAGCACGTAATCAAAACGAAAGTAGATCTGGCTTTGTTTATACGTATCCATGGTTCCTTGTCGCCATTTGATGTTTACATATGTAAGTTTTTTTAACATTCAACCTTCCTTTGTATGATGATTAATTTGATAAATAATGCACGTTTTGTAAAGTATAAGCGTAGGTTATGCATAAGGAGTGAGTCCTTAGTGACGTATTAATAAACATGATTGAGTAGCATAATCGTAATCGGACATTCCATGTTTTGATCAGCAAAATTGTTCTTTCTATTAAATTCATTTTAAATGACGTGCATGTTTCAAGGAACTGTAAGTTCATTCTCTGAGCGAATATTTCATTTTACATCACTTTAATGTACGTATCGTTGACGTCACAGAAATCTGTTTAAGATAGGTCATTCCTCAGCTTTTGTAAAAAAAAATTTTCAGAATCTCTAATATCAAAATTGTCAAGTACAATTTCACTTATATAATATATTTGAACTATAATAATGCAGAATTTTACAATATTCAATTGAAATTCCATTCTCGAAATCAAGCACGAAATAGAACTTCGGGGGTAAATTTTTCTTGTGATGGAAGGATATTTAGGAGAAAATTCTCAAAATGCACAGATTTGATTTATTCTATATGTTGGAATTTTAGCCCTTCATATTTTTACTCACAGAAATTTTTTGATAATAATTTACTTTTTTTTCAACAAACCAAAAACTGCAGATATATTGAAACATTAAACATGAAATAAATTTTAGGTTTAGACTTAAACTTGCTTAATTTGACACATGTCTCAGATTTACATCATTAGCTCCAAGATATTTATTTCCCTTTTTGAAACTATATGACGCTTCTCTTCGCTCAGCACTGAATTTATGTACAAATTTACAGTCTATTAAAGAAAACCATACATAATGAATATTTAGATTTGACTGAATACACCCCTCCCCATCCCCCCACCCACCCATATATATATATATATATATATATATATATATATATATATATATATATATATATATATATATATATATATATATATATATATATTTAATTTATATACATTGTATATAGCTTTTATTGTGGTTTTAAGATTCAATGTGAGAAAGATGTGAAACCTCATGGAAGATGAACATAATACAGCAATTTCTCCTCGCAATGCTATCTACAATGGTATATTCAGTAAGTAATATGGCAGATAAATGAAGGTCTATAAGCTTGAAGCCTTAACATGCTATCAGATCTACAGATTTAGGGACGCCAACCTTTTTTTTTATAAACATGTGCCTAATTCTGCTGTTTTTTGTTGCTGCGTTAAAGTCACTGCACACAAGAATTTGCCTTGGTCTTTGATTGTTTTTAGTAATTAATATTTTCTACATTTGATTGTACAGTATCGATTTAACAGGACTATTCTGAAGAATTCGAAATATTGGAAGACTTCATTTGTGAAATCCATGGGCTATTCTCAGTAGTTTATATATGTTCCTCTCTTAAAATATTTCTTGCAGTCCATGAATTACATTCATGTGTATTGCTTACTTAAAGTAGTCTTTTGACTGTAGGAACTAACAGGTTGTCCTGCTTCAGTGCCTACGGTAAGCTATGTACACCGATGTCCTAGAAACGTATCAGAGTGGGTCAAAGCCTCTAACAGAAAAAGATGTTCGCTAGCTAAACAAAACTGCACTACGGAAACTAAGTTCCAGTATCATTGTCTCATAAACGCAGATATTAATGGCATGGTTGAAGTATGTATCCCGATACGGCGCATTGTTGGTAAGATTATTTACGATCAAAAGAAAAGAATTTTTAAACGAAATGTAGAAAAAATTGTATATATTTCGATTTTGAGGATTTCATTTTAATTTAGTTAATGATTCTATGGCATGCTAGTGTCAAGTATGAGATTTACAAATGAATTAAATGGTACTTAGAAGTTATTCTTGTAATGCAGTTACTTGGTATCTCTATCGTTAAATCTGATATTATCAGGTTTCTTAGGTTGAGTAAGCACCCCTGCGACCTGTCACACCCGTCATGAGCCCTATGTAGGGATCAGTTAAATGGAATAATCTGCAGTCAAAATTAAACAAAGATGGCCTAACAATTTGTAAAACACATTTCAGTCAAACCTCGCCTTATCCATGAGTTGAATTAAAAAACGAAGTCATGATAACGTCCGAGGGAAAATTGAATCTGAGACGAGGTCGTTGAAAGTCCTAACCCACCAGCAGCCTATCTGGGCTTAAAAATTAGTCCTACTCAGATCACCTACGTACTGAATCAGGTCTAAGGCAAACGACCATATGAAAATTATAGTGGAATGTTGATGATAGAAAATCCGAAATCATCTATTTGTCATATTGTTAATAGTTAGATTTAGAATAACAATGGTAATAATAATATTAGCTACGTTATGTACATACATTCATTAGCTTCCTCCTACCACAAAAACAATGAACAAGATGTATGCGTGAAACACTGATGCCCCGAGTGACAGCTTATGGCGAAGGTTAAAGTTTCTCTTATGCAAGTTAAACTCAGGGTCAAAAGATCACAATTTTGGTACCTAAGATAAGTCTTGTCTCCAGAAATTTATCTGTGAAATATGAAAGCCCTAGCACCAACCTTTTGAAAGTTTTTCAAAAGTAAGTCAAACTTCAAGGTCAAATGCAAATGGTAAAAATTAATGGTGTCCAACGGAAGGTCTTGTCACAAGAAATGCATATGTGAAATATGAAAGCCCAAGTACCAAACGTTCAAAATTTGTAACCAAGGTTAAGTTTTTCAAAACTAGGTCAAACACAAAGCTCAAAGTCAAATTGATTGATTGATTGATTGTTGTTTTACGTCCTGTTTGATAATTTTTTACTCATACAGAGACGCCACCATATACCGGTGAAGGGCTTCAAATTCAGACCATTACTCGGCACTCAGGGCCATTGAGCAGTGAGGGTTTTTTATCGTCACGCCTACCGTGACACGGGGCCTCGGTTCTTAAGGTCTCATTCGAAAGACCCACAACTTTCACTTCAAAGTGCCGAGCGCTTGGCGAATGCACAGTTTCTGCCTAATTCTTATCGACTTATGTCAGTCGCGGCCGTGATTCGACCACACGACCATCCGATCACTGAGCGATTTCTCTACCTACTGTCAAAGTAGAGGGTCAAAATTGTTGGTTTCCTACTGAAGGTGTTTTTAGAAGAAATACATATGTAAAATATGAAAGCCCCACCACCAACTGTTCAAAAGTTATGGTCAAAGTTAACGTTTTTCAAAAGTAGGTAAAACTCAAAGGTGAAAAAGTCAAAGTTGTTGGTAATCAAAAGAAGGTCTTGTAACAAGGAATACACATGGGGAGTAGGAAAGCCCTAGCATCAGACGTTCAAAAGTTACCCCCAAGATTAAAGTTTTTTAAAAGTAGGTCAAACTCCAAGTTAAAGGTCAAAGGGTCAAAGTTGTTGGTATCCAAAGAAAGACTGTGTCACAGTATAATTCACATGTGAAATATGAAGGCTCTAACGTCAACTGTTCAGAAGTTATGGCCAAGGATATAGTTTTTTTTTTTTTTCAAAAGTAGGTCAAACACCAAGAGCAATGTCAAAGTTGTTTGTAGCCAAAGTAAGGACTTGTCACAGGAAATACACATGAGAAGCATAAAAGCCCTTGCACAAATTGTTCAGAGGTTGTGGCCAAAGTATTTCAAATGTAGGTCAAACTCCAAGGTCAAGGTCAAAGAGCGAAAGTTGTTGGTAGGCAAAAAAAGGTCTTGTCAAATGAAATACACTTGTGAAATATAGAAGCCCTAGCACCAACTGTTTATAAGTTACAGTTAAGGTCAAAGTTTTTCAAAAGAAGATCAAACTCCAATGTCAAGGTCAAATGTTCCAAGTAACTGGTATCTAAACAAAGGTTCTTCACAGGGAATAATCATATGAAGTATGAAAGCCATAGCTCCAGCCAGTAAAAAGTTATGGGCAAGGTTAAATTTTTGTGGACAGACAGACAGACACACGGACAGGGCAAAACTATTTTCGATTACGGGGACATTACGCGAAAATTCATGATTTTTACTGAAACTTACATATCCCCTGAACTGGTTGATTTTGGAACACGTATAAAAATGAGATTGTCAAAAAACTTGGTTACTTTAATGATTTGACCTAAAACAGTTTATAGCATCACAACTCAAATAAATTCACGATGCTAGGTCTAGGAAGAAGTATCAATAAATGTGTGCATTTTGCTTCCGTTTAATATTTAACTATTTATTCATTCTTTAATTTCTTTCATTTTTAGGGAGTTTCTGTCCATTTTATGACTCAAAGAAAGCAAGAATAGAGAACCACTACCACCTGTCTTGTAGGGAACACACATTTAAATGCCCGGAGCATTACCAATCAAATGAGGCATATAAGTGTAAGATATACTGTGCAAATTGATAGTAGGCGGGAATTTTTTCTTTGTTTTTTTCCCGCATGAATGTTCTATTTAAGAAAAAAATAAATAAGAAAACCCATTAAGTTTATTTGTCAAGCTTGACACGTTGTATGAAAGATATCTATTTTTAGAAGAGCATTTCCTGTTATAGATTAAACGTTCTAAAATTGACAGAGCTTAGTGACGTAATGAAGAAATATATAATAACTGGAAAACGCGTCCTGGCGACCGTTTCATTAACAGGTCGTAGCTCGTAAACGTAGACGTAAACTTGAACGTAGCACGTAAGTGCGTTTCACTAAGAATTACGGTTTGCTAGTTACGATTTAAGTTGATCGTAAGTCTACGAGTAGTCAGGGGCACTCTTAAGATACTTACGTGCAAGTAATTTCATGAAAAAAGCAACACAAAACATAAATAAAAGCAAGATTCCAAATGATTGTCACTTTTACTTTTCTACTGTCTGCTTTCTTTGGAAGTAAATTGTGTAGACCGAGTCCGATCTTAAAATACACGCTAAAACAAACTTGCAACTAAAAAAAAACACAAGTTTAATATTTCCTTTTTGAGCTTATCTATTTTCTACGAAATAATACTTATTAATATAGGCAGGGATCTATATACTAAGTATATACGTACATGATAGAAGTAATTCATTTTTAGAAATACGTTGACAAACCTGCATATGGGAATATCGGCAATATTAAAAAAAGATAAAATAAATAAATAAAATATGTATAAAAAAATAAATAATAAAAGTAAACATGGTAAAGTAAAATAAATAAACATACCGAGTTTTATAATTATTAGTTTTTGATCAGAAACATGAAGCAATCATGGACGCAAGGCCGAGGATCGTCTAAACATTCGGAAATAAACTTTGTTTTCAAATGTTTAGATATATGAGAATGTCATAAATTTGCAATTTAAGCTTGAAGTAAAATGGAACGTTATACTCCATCGTGGACTATACTTGTTAATTATAAGACATAAAATGCAAGAATAGATATTAATTATTGATACATATATTTTGATTCCGGTTAAAAAGGGACTTTTATTTTATTTATATTATAATTATAGATATACTTTTTTTAGTAAACGATTTTCCATTAATTAATTGTCCTTTTATTTCTTTTTTAACACTTAAAAAATAAATGGTGATTTTTTTAAACTTAGTTTTGATCTTTTCGTTTCTTTCGTTATTTCTTCTTTCTTTCTTTTTCTCTCTTTCTTTTCAACAAATACATCTCCTCAGTCAGAAGAGTTTAAATAAGTTGGTCATAACTCGCTTATCGTAAGTGCTACGTCTACGACCTGTTTTGTGAAACGCTCGTATACGTTCACGTAAAATAATCGTAAACCTAATCGTACGTTTACGGTCTACGATTAATTAGTGAAACGGTCGCCTGGATTGTACATGATTCTGGATAAAATTCTATGAGATACCTTTTTTTTTTTTTTTTTTTTTTTTAACATAATTTTTTATTTACTTGATTTTTTCTAAGTTACTTTTACATTTTTACATGTATTCCATATTTAAAACCTGTGATTTAGAACTGTTTGTTGAATTTTTAACGTTTTATAATATATATATATATATATATATATATATATATATATATATATATATATATATATATATATATATATATATATATATATATATATATATATATATATTTATATATATATATATATATATATATATATATATATATATATATATATATATATATATATATATATATATATATATATATATATATATATATGTATGTGTTGCATAAACATTACATTCTATACATTATGCCAACTGAATATATGATTGTATATTTTGTAATACATGTAACGTGTAGATGAACATAGATTAAATCGCTGTGAATTGAAAGAAACCTTTCTTGCTACTAAGCCACGCCGATTTAGTTTCTTATAATGCTACAATACTATTGAAGTATGAAGATAACGAACAACGTCCATTAAAATATTTTAAGTACTAATGTATTTATGATGTACATCCTAATCTAGTTTTAAATTTTTTGCTATAGACGATGCACTGAAAAAGATGCAAAATAGAACTCTAAAATATAATATCGCTACATTTACTTTTGTTGTAATTTTTATTAAGACTTTCCATTTTAAGCCTCATTGTACAGGGTTGGGGTCAATTTCTTGAAAATGTCATTAAATACATTGATGATTTTGTCAATTACTTGCAATTACATTGATTTTAACAAATGTATTTAATTATTCTCAATTACTTTGCAGAATGTAATTAAATACATATCAATTACTAGTTTTATCTCCAAAACTTTTCAAGAACAAATCCATGAATATTTTGAAGCAGCAATATTATTAAATTTGACCTTTCCTAATGTACTGACTGTATAAACATTATTGGCATTTGATTATTGAATAAAAACGAGTTTATTGCAAACAGTACACGTATGCATCATTATAAAACACCTTTTTAAATATTTAACTTGAAAAACAAAGTATTTGAAATGGAATGGAAAAATGCATTACATTTTTGGAATGCATCTAAATACATTCAATTTATTGTAATTGAAAACTTAACTTCACATTCTTTCCATTACTTTGGAAAATGTATTTAAATAGGGTAAATTACAATTACTCATTTCAATTAACCCTTAAGCTTCCCTGTCACTGTAACCGGCCGAAGGCTTTTTTGATATATGCGTCATCTGTGTGTGTGTGTGTGTGTTTGCAATGAATGTGTTCTAAAGGCCCCAGAGGTATTAGATGGGGAAAAAAGAAGCCGCTAGTTTGTAAGATGGATTTAAAAATGACGTGTGTCGTGCATTCCGAAAGAATTATGAAAGGGAAACGTGTTTCGTAAAATTAGTAATTAAGGGAGGCGTGCCTCAGTCATGAGACCTGCGTAAAATAGGTGTGCATACGACCCACGGGTGGTTAGGATATTGCCAGCTGAAAATGGAATACTTGTACATTATTCTTCGGTTTATCAAAATTTTACCTCTCGATAGATGCAATATGGCGGTCTTTTTGACTTCGGTGTTTTACAGCATATTTGGTTTTAACGTACTCTCATTATCATTAAAGGCTTGACTTTCACTTTCATAATTTACATATAATGATCAAAGAAGCATACAAATGACAGGTCTTCTTCAAAGTCCTCGCTAAATGCGAATCCAGATGTAGCTTGAAGCAGACGATGCTGCTCTTGAGATTTTGTCTGGAAGACGGCACACTTGCATTTTCTGCTACGAAATCATATTATTTGATGCATGTATCCGAAGTTCTTCGAATGCGCTACGGGCTGTCTGCGAGCTCAAAATTTTTCAGAACAACCGTTTATCCATTTTCATTTTTTGCCGTTTACAACAAATATGGACTTGACGTTCGGCCAGTTGTGACTGAGGCTTTTGAAAACTTAAATCGGCAATAAAAGCAAAGACTTGGATATCAAAATTACGAGCTTTCAGGTTATGCTTTGAACCCACTTTTAAGAAAACCACTAAGAAATATGGCAAAATATTTTTATTAACATGTGTTCAAAGAATGAGACAGTTAATATTTAGATCTGATTTTTTTATATATTGTACATTAGGAAAAAAACACTTCTGTATGTCGCTGTCTGTTTGTTGTGTTTGAAGCCAATCAAAAATGAAAATTATTAATAATGCAGAATGTCTGGAAGCAAATCCCTGATGCAGAATTTTGAGGTTTCACATTCCATCATAGATAAAAAAAAAATTAAAATTTTTGGAAAAAATCTCAGCAAACACTAAAAACCTTTACCAGAAAAAGTTATAATATTGGAATCTTAAAGCGTTTATTACAGAAAAGGAAACTTCATATAAGTTTAAAAGGAAATTCTGTGCCTGAATCAAAAAGTCTCCAGTCTCGGCTAGTCTCCGTAAACATCTTATACAAATAAACGTATTGGCTCAGCAATACTTATTTTCCTTACAGTTCAGGGTTGCTATATGGCTGTCTATGGTCAGGAGCCTGTTAACAAATCCAAAACTAAAGAGGATGTGGATGACGAAAACCATATTTTTAGGTATGTTTTAGGAACGTTCACACATTGTTTGAACAGGCGTGTAAAAATACTAAATATTTTAAAATTGATGGAATAAGCATTACTCCTAGATATTTTTGTTTCAGTTTTAATAATTTCTCTTTGTCTACTAATGATGGATCCAATCAATGATAAAGTTTGATGATATATATTTATTTTGTGTGCATTGGTAATGTAATAAACATATTTCACACTCGTTAGAAAGCTTGTGTTAAAATTATTATACATCAAGCCATTTTATTAAAAAAATATTGATAACATTTTGTAAATGATTTTGTGAGATATGAAGAGATCAAAGATTGCAAAATGTTCAAATTATCTTATAAAATTACTTACTTTCATATACATCAAGCCATTTTATTAAAAAAATATTGATAACATTTTGTAAATGATTTTGTGAGATATGAAGAGATCAAAGATTGCAAAATGTTCAAATTATCTTATAAAATTACTTACTTTCATATAATTTGTTACATTTTTTTTGCCGTTTTCTGCAGGAAAATTGGAGACAAAATTGTAGATCTACAAAAAGATACCATCTGGACAGTGGTTGTAATAATTTTTGCAATCGTTTTTCTTTCGATATTTGGAGTGATAAGCATAATTCTAAAGTGTATAAATACAGAAACAAAGAAATCATGTGAGTATATATATTTCAAAATCGTTCGAAAAGTGTAAATCTGATTTTTTTTTTTTTATGAATTGCTACTCAACAGGACATGAACACAACAATGTTATAAAAGGATGCATCATGATTATCTCGTTGATTAAAATCCACTTTACTCATGATTTTGATTCGATTATCTGCTCAGATCCCGTTGGGGATAGTACGTGCATTGCTTTACATACTTGTCATACAAACTTAAAGAAACACTTAAAACACTTACCAATTGCAGCTAGTCCCATTTACAGTGGACCTGTCATTTTTCCGTCTAATTTCTTATCAGAAATCAATTTAGAGATAAAGTGTTGAAATCCGATACATAAAAGATAAAATATTATTCAGGAAAACAAAAATTTGCAAGTTAATATATGTATTACCAATGCACAGGTTGGAAGTCTTGCAATCGATGCTACAAATGTTGCTACAAATGTTGCGACACAGTTGATGAAGATTGTGTACAGAAAAATAGTGTAGAGATGGAGGAAAAAACGAAAGAAAATACAGACAAGGATGACAAAAACGACACAAATGAACGGTTATTAAATGAAAATGAAACAGGAAGCAGTGATATTTCTTGAAATTTTCTTCAAGCATATACAGTAAGATAAGAAGCACGGTTAGTGATAAATTAACTTTCAATCTCTTTTCAATGTTTTATATAAACAGGTTTAAGTATGCAAAAATTGATTAAATGCATAAAGTTCTAAAGATTTTAAGTTGTTACAATTTTATTATGGTAGTAAATGTATTTAAACTAGAGTCAAAGCGAAAAAAGAGAATATTAGATGAGGAATTTCAAGAACTATATATAAGTTAATAAAAATATATAAGTAGATACTAAGTCCTTTTGCTAGATTGCAGAATATTTCAATATTTTACTACAACAGTTTTATATTTATATTTCCCTTTAACAAAGTGTTGGGAGGAGGTATTGAAATAAGCATGGCTGTCGATCTGTCTGTCGTTCTGTAGGCATAGTTTTGTCCGGACATTTTGGTTGCATCTATTGCATATTCTTTACAGTTGTTTTGATTCTTCTAGACCTAATCTTTATGGGTTCTTGTAGTTTTTACACATAAAATCCAGGAATTGCCAGTTGACACTTCAGTAGAAAAATGTGAATTGCAGTTTGAAATCTGGTCATTTAGAATTAAAAATCACCAAGTAATAAAAAAAAGTTGTGTCGTAGCTTATCTCTACAATGTAAGTATAATGCAGTGACCATATTAAAACATGTTGCATCAAGATTAGGATATTTTCATTATATACAGCATGATAAAATGTAAAACAAAAATCTTTGTTTTACCAGCATTAACATATATAATAATACAATTATATTTTCCTTAGAAAATGAAGACTAAACAGTGATTCACATTTCCTTGGGAGCAATGAGTTTACATCCATCCAGTTAAAGATTAATTAATGAGATTAAAGTATTTGCATGTAATGCTGTTTTAGTCATTTTCCTTAGATAATCACTTATCAAGGAGGTGTTATCTACATCCTTTAGGTATTCAAGATCTCATCTCTAATTCTCTTAATTGCAATTGATAGCATATGTCAAAATAATATACAAAATTACTTGAAGGCAAGCCTTTTTAAAAACGCATTGGTATAAAGATATGCAAAGTATTTGATAATGTACATGTATAATATGATAATTTTTCTTACATCTCAAGAATAAAATTGCAGAATGGCACGTCTCAAAAAGATCACAGAAGGTTGCTATTAAGTTTTATAATCTAATAAAAAAAACAAAACAATACTAATGAATAGTATTTTAATGCATACTTAGACAATTGAAAGGGCTTTCTTAATCATTCATTAAAATTATAATATGCAGTAATATTTTGACTGTAAATGTTAACAAACTATACGAACACCTCTAGTTTGAAAAATATTTTAGTGACTTGATAGTTTTTTTTTCAACTCAGCGGGGTCAATTTGGACAATTTTAGTTTCATTGGAATTAAGTGTGATATATGCATTTTTATTATTTATTTATTTATCTATTTATTTATTCATTTATTTTTGTACTTTTCACTACTTGATCTAATTTTTTTTGTTGAAAATTATTTCTTTCTATTCTTTTTTGTGTAACAACTTTTCCTGGGTATAATCTTATTATAACGTTTCTTAAATTTATTGCGTTTAATTTGTTTGTTACCGACGGAAAGTACCACATATTTGATAAAATTCTTTATTACAAATTAAGACAAAATATGGCAATTATCAAGCATTCAATGTTAATTTTATGAAAGTCGATGTAAAAATTCACCTTTTTAAAATTTATCTTATATTGAACATTAAAAAGCACTCAGTATTTCTGCACTACAATAATTCAAGAAATTAATTTGCAGTGTTCTTTAGTTTCCTTATCTCACGTTTTCAATGCATGATATTGATTTAAAATGAAGAAGTTTTAATGGTAGAAATGCATTATTGACATGAATATTTCAAATATATATTTGTGCATGATTTCTTTGTATTGGTCATTTTGCATGTCTATATAGATTATATATGTTGTTTCGGTCATTTTGTAAATGTGATATTAATTTTTTTTATTACCATTATCATTTTTGCTAGCAGTACACACTCCATTCGTTCTTTATAATCTATATTATGTATTAAAGTGTTATTGATTTTATTGATATTGCTAATAAGGGAGATAACCCTCATTTGGATAAAGGACTGCACAGCACAGTTGATGCGTAATGGAAATATTTTATTTAAAAAAAAACAAATTATTTACCAGGATTATCGATCCACTTTAAATAACATAAAAAAATTACTGACTAATGTTAAGGATTTTTAGCTCACCTGAGCAGAAGGCTCAAGTGAGCTTTTCTGATCGAAATTTGTCCGTTGTCTGTCGTCGTTGTCGTCATCGTTTTGTAAACTTTTCCTATTTTCATCGTCTTCTCAAGAACCACTAGGCCAATTACAACCACACTTGCCACAAAGTATCCTCGGGTTAAGGGAATTCAAGTTTTGTTCGAATGAATGCCTACGCATTCTTCCAAGGGGAGATAATTATGATTTCGTGAAAAATTAATGTCATCATTTAAAAATCTTCTTCTCAGGAACCACTGTGCTTGAACACAGGAAACTTATGTGAAAACATTGTAAGGTAGTGTAGATTCAAATCTGTTCAAATCATGACCCCCGGGGGTAGGTTGGGGCCACAGAGGGGGAAAAATATTTACATAGGAATACATAAGAAGAATCTTTAAAAATCTTCTTCTCAAGATCAACAAAGCCATGATTGATTATATTTATATGGAAGCATCCTCAGGTAGTGTAGATTCAATTTTGTTCAAATTATGACCCCTGGGGGTAGGGTGGGTCCACATAAGGCGATCAAAGCTTTACATAGGAATACATAGGAAAAATCTTTAAATATCTTCTTCTCGAGAACAGCAAAGCCATGATTAGTCATATTTATATGGAAGCATCCTCAGTTAGTATAGATTCAAGTTTGTTCAAATCATGACCCCCACATGTAGGGTGGGGCCATAATTGGCGATCAATGTTTTATATAGGAATACATAAAAAAATCTTTGAAAACCTTCTCGACGAGAACAACAAAGCTGTGTTTGATCAAATGTATATGGAAGCATCCTAAGGTAGTAAATATACAGGTTTGTTCAAATCACGACCCCTGGGGTAGAGTGGGACCACAATAGGCGATAAAAGCTTTAAATATATAGGAATACAAAGAAAAATCTTTAAGAATCTTCTTCTCGAGAACAGCAAAGCCATGATTGGTCATATTTATATAGAAGTATTCTCAGATTCCAGTTTGTTCAAATCATGACCCCAGGGGTAGGGTGGGGCCATAATGGGCGATCAATGTTTTACATAGGAATACATGAGAAAAATCTTTAAAATTCTTCAGAAGAACAGCAAAGCCATGATTGTCATAATGTTATAAAGGCATCCTCAGATAATCATCACCCCCCAGGAGAATAGAGGAGCCATAACAGGGGATCATAGTTATACAAAGGAATATAAACAATATATCAGCAAAAACTTACATCTCAAGAACAGCAAAGCTATTATTAATCATTTTTGGACAAATGCATCCTTAGAAAGTGTAGATTAAAGTGTTTAAATCATATACCCCCCCCCCCCCAACCACTTTTATTTTTAACTTTTCAATACTGAACTGATTCTGCTGTTTCCTAGCCAAAGTGCTCAAGCTAGCATTGTGGCCCCTGGGCCTCTTGTCTATTTAGATTTAACATGTGATGTGGAAGTTGTGTGATTTTAGCAAATATACATGCAGAATTGAGGACATCTATAAATTCAAATATTTCAATGCATATTCAAGTTGAATTTAATTTAATAAACATACTTTCAACACTCTTAGATTGTGATAAGTGCTGCTTACCTACATTCTACTCTCTAAAATGAGATTTGGAGATAACGAACCGAATTCAAGCTCAAACGTGCATTAAAACAATGTAAAGTGTAAGCAGAGCACACATGGACCTCTAAATTTATCAGAGTTGGAATCAGGTGCAATGGATGAATACGAGGGTCGTTTAATAAATAATAATGCAAAATGTCATCTAATAATACGAAAGGAACGAGAAACAGTTTTTTAAAGAATTATTTTGAATGCTTCAAAGTGTTCTTTATTGACCTTTACCTAAATCAAAAGTCTGGGGACCCATGACCAGAACACTTCAGAATACTCATCTTTAGGGATGCTCAAAAGACACTGATAAATAGCACTCCCCATGATACATATGAAATTATAAAATCTTCATTTATTTAATGTTTTTAAAGTAAAGGTATCTTACAATGACTGGGATCTAGCAAATACGGAGGGTGGTTAAGCTCTGCAAACGTTTCTTTCTTCAGACTATTTGTAGCAGTGTTGTCAGGTACAAGAAAACTATTCTGGAGGTATTGGGATTTTCTTACAGAAAGTCTGCTTAACTTTCCTCAGTGTAAATGTAGCATAAATGCTACCATTGATTGTCCTTGCAGTGGGTGTAGTCTCTCTGATACAACATTTCATTATTTAACTTCCTTTTGGAATATAAAAAAATGCACCCATGTTTTCGTTATTTATCACAAAAGTTTATTATACCTTCTTTTGCTTTTTTTTTTCTTGATAGACCATTGGCACATCTTTTAGGCATCTGTAAAGAAATAAAGCACCCGTTTGATAGGAAATAGTTTTAGATTCATTACCTTTGTCAGAGAACTCTACAATTTGTGTGATGATAAAAGTTTAGCGTCCTAGCATTGTCGTTTAATTACTGCATATCTGGAGTTTTAGATATCAAGTTGTTCAGCACATATGCATTTTTAGTGACCCAACAGATTGTGATCGACCAGTTGGACTGTGATCTTTGAACCCTTCTTTTATTACTTTTGAATTTCTTTATCCATCTTAAAACTGTACAGCCTGAAAGACTAGATTTTCCACATATTAATACTATATCTCTCATATGGGTTCTTCAGCAATTTCTATAACGAAGTGTAGTTTCACATACGCACTCATTTTCACCTTTGTGGCAGAGATAATTTTTGAACAGTTTTTAGCTCAGTATATTGACTATGT